ATATATATAATTTCCTCCCTCAGGAGCATCAGTTCTGGCAGCTTCTTGCAGACATCCTTCAGATTTCTGAGGTCGTTTCTTCTGAGACCAGAACTCACCTGAGAGGAGGTCAGTCATTTAATATTTCTAGTAGAGTCGTATGGAGAGAAATCTCTTGAGTTCTGGTTCTGTGTTTCAGASCAGAGGACTCTGGTGGCTGCAGGTCTCTGGCAGACCGGGTACCATGCAGCCTGGATGTACCAGAGGGATGGARGGAGTTTCTCCAGCAGGGATCTCCTCCTGGCGCTCGGCTGGCTGCTGGCTGCGGGGACYTTGGAGAAGCTCCTGACCCGGCGAGTCCAACAGCTGGACAAAACCCTGCTGACGTCAGTTCCTGTGCGTTAGCAAAACCAGCAGAGTGTGGATGTGTTGCCGTCAAACCCAGCTGCTGATGTGTGTGTGTATGTGTGTGTGTGTGTGTGTTTGTGTGTGTGTTTTTGTCGTGTTTCAGGTGAACTGTGAGTTCTCTGGTGATCTGGAGTTCAACGCCGCCTCGCTGAAGAGACTTCAGTGGCTGATTGGTCGTCTGAGACACCAGAGACGGATTCTGCAGTCCACGATACGAGCGCGAACACGAGCGCTTCACGATGTGAGCTTTCCTGTTTGACCCTTTTTATCGACTTCTGAAGGAAAATAAAACCAAACGCAAAACGAAACTGTTGAACAGCCGAGCTTTATGAATCTGGGAAACCTTAAAAACGAACAAATTCATTGTGATGAACAAAGAGGGTGTTTAACAAGCTGTGATGGTATTTTTCCAGGTATTTTCTGCCAGCCAGTCCTCTTCGTCTCTGTCCTCTGCTCAGAGCTCTGCTGTTCTGCAGGAGGTTTGTGAGCTCTTAGAAAACTCATAAATCATTAGCAAACCTTCAGATTTAATTTTGTTTTTGAAATGATTGTAAATGTGTTCATTGTTTTAAGTTTTTTTTAAAGTCTTATGGTTTGTTTGTTTCTCGATGTTGAAGGAAAATGTTCGAATGCAGCAGCTCTGTGATCTTCTGGAAGCCTTTGTGAGCTGGAAGCAGGTGGAGAACGTCTTCTGGACCTGGATGGTGCGTTAAATCAGTTTTTACATTAACCGTGTTGATCGAGTCAATACGACGGAGGACCACACAACAAGATTTTATTATTATTATTATTATGACAATAAAGTCATAATATTGTGAGAATTAAGTCGTAATATTATGAGATTAACATAATATTACGAGATTAAAGTCATAATATTATGAGATTAAAGTCATAATA